ATAAAAAAATTCAATTTTAATAATTCCCTATAAACATACATGTATTATAAATATTACATTTAAATATATATAAACATTAGGTGTTTTCCAAATCTTATCTCTCTCTCTCTCTCTCTCTCTCTCTATCTATCTATATATATATAATAGTTGGCCACTCGAATTCGATGATGCTCGTCTGAGCAATCCATATTACAGACAGTCGCTCAGGCAAATTTGTGTTTGCTCAACACCCACAGAGTCCACCTGTACAGACCTTAGTTACAGTTTCTGGGAGAGAGTGTGTTATCTAGCGCGATCAACAATTTGAACAAGGTCAGCACACTCAAGCCGTTGGCTTTGTACTAGCCCTTAAGAGTTCCGTCTATCCAATTACATTCACAAGGCGTGGATCAACCTGTGGTATGGTTTTCAAGGCACTTTCCAAAGGTGAACCACGCTGAGATCGACCTCGATCCATGCCAAACATGTTGAGATTCGAACCCGCGTCTATATATATATATATATATATATATATATATATATATATATATATATATATATATCCTTCAGCACAATGTGATACAAATGTAAGTAGATAGTACAACTTTAACGAAATACAACTTCCATTGATCTTATTTCCGTCTGAAAACGCAAAGAGATAATTTTGATATAAACAGATGATCGCTTCGGAAATCCAAACGCTATATAGCCTTGTACCATTCAAAACAAATCCTGGTTTAAGTGTTGATGGGGAAAAGGGTTTCCAATTCTGTAAGAAAAAATGTTTTTACACAGAATGAAAGAGTTTATTCACTTTCGACGCGTACTGAGAGGAATGTATTTCCATTTACAGAGCAATACCATTTTGAAAGAAAAAAAAAATATTATTATTAATACCTTTGACTGTCGACAAAAACCCTCATTACAAAAAACGTCAATGAAACCTGATCTACAAACTGATTTCCTTCAAAGAATACATATTCTATTCATACGAATCTATTCTAATAGCCTTGTCGGCATTAAACAACTCATTGAGTTTGACATGCCGTAGAACAATAAAAACCCACACCCCGATCACTACTAAACTTAACCTTTCTAAGTCTATGATTAACTATTAAAACTATTTACATCATTTGGATTGCTCTCCTCATTAGACCTTCTTCAAGAGACATACGTTAGAATTTCGAATATTGCGAATATGACAATAAAGATGAAGACAACAGTCCGAAAGATGTAAATAGTTCAAATAGTTACAATACCACATCTCAGAAATATAGGCAGATATCTATGGTCAACTGTTACCTATATTGCATATTACTGGTCCTGACATCACGGCATCGTAAAATAGCTTCCTAGTACTTTTTTATAAATATTTTCATGGTAATTATTCACTTTAGTAATTGCCACTTTAGTACCTCGATTTTACAAATTTAAACGCATTACTAGATTGGCAGCAAGGTCTATTTATTTTGCTGTTGAAATGGATATAACCGTAACTTCAGTGCTAAGAGTTTCTTCTGTCGCACTTCTCGCTTGTGGAATACTCTTCCGGTTTCTTGCTTTCCAGTCAAGTTTGATCTTCAAAAATTTAAATGCGATGTCAGTCGTTATTTTCTTGTTCTTTTTATTATTTACTCTTCTTAATGTTTATTTTCTTATATTCTCTCACAGTCAGTAAACCCTTGCATCTCAGAGGCTTTATTGTCTTGCTTGGAGTGAAATGATTAAAAATTATCATCTTATGTCTATACAAGAACTTTATTTAGCGGGAAAGATCGAATAACCTAACACCCTCTTCCTTAAGTGGCTCTTAGGCCTTGTATTAGTGGAACAATATTAAAAAAAAGAAAGAAAAATCGTTTGTAGCCGTTATTATTATCACCAGTATGTTATCAGTGAGAATCGCATACGCTTTTTGCTATTGTCATTTCGAGAAATATTTCGAAATATTCCTCCTGGGAGATAAGAATAGGTTGACAAGCCCGAACGAAAATAAGAAAACTTGAAGTCTCCGTAGAGATTGGCGATTTTCATTTGGCAGTAAACAGTAATTCATTGATTTTGCTATAATCAATTCTTCTGCACATGCATTTATAATCTTAGCAGACAACCAGAAAAAATACAGTTATGTGAAAACTCTCTCGGAAAATGCAACTGATGCAAGATTTCATTAACAATGATTAAAATATATTCTTCAACTTAGCGAATATTTTTTTTTAAATATATACGTGAAAATAAAATAGACGTCAGTGGAACACTTACAACATTTCTCGCGTGTCAAGCGTCATGAATACTGAAGCCGCATAAAACCTCTACAATTAGGCTATCTTTTATTGGTTATGATTTTTGCTGGCTATCTTTTATGCGCAATGTGCTGCAAATTTGTCCCGAATTATTTAATTTCCCAAAATCAAAATATCACAGTCAATTGAAAAGTCCCTGCAACTATAAAAAAGCTAAACTGAACCTTCGTGTCTGTAAAAAACTAAGTGTCAAAAGGACTGCTGTTATTTTAACTACTTTCACTCTTCGTCATTGTTTATTGTTTTAAAATGTGATGGTTAGAATTGCAATAAAACCTAATAATGTAATGAATATGCATACACCTGGGTCCCCCCACCACAGTAATATGATTGGCTGGTGGCAGCCATAAATACAGACTGATGTGGAGGTACAGAAAGGACGCCTATTGGCTACGCCTATAGTCTTCGCCTATTGCCTACGCTTATTGCCTACCCCTACGACGAGGACCAGTCCATTACAGTTACCTGTTAGATTGTTCTACTCGGTTGCAGTAGTTCAAAACCACTTTGCTACTTTTAACAAATATATCCCTTTTCCGGACATATCACCTAAGCATATGCGAGTTTTTTCTTGAGAATTTACAAAAAAAAATATTAAACTATTTACAATTTTAAATTATTTACAATTTATAACATTCTAAAATTAATACAATTTAAAACTATTGCAATATTTATAAAAAATTAAATATGCAAATTTCTATTCATACTAAATTATTATATTATGTGACCGATCTATAATGGAAAACACAATTGGCAATTAACCGATAAATTATATAATAGACAAATAGTGTAAATAAACAATCTAATAAATAAATAGTGTTTATTATTTTTGTTGTCAATTCTCAAGAAGAAAGAAAATGTATAAATTCACTTTCACATTTTTATGTTTTATTACAATTCAAATAATCGTTTTTAAAACAATAAATATCGCCTAGGAGTGAATGTATTTAAAATAATAGCGGTGTCAAGGGAAGTGTCCTTTTGATATTACATTTTCTGTGAGCACGAAGGGTCGCAATTGCTAAAAAGCAATTTTAAACAACGATTATAAGTTATTTTCTTAATTACAAAACAAGTAATCGTAAGGCTGCATAAATCCGAAAATCGTGACCCGAAATGATGTATTTTTATGAAGAAAAAATTCTTTCTAAATATTGACCTTTTTTGTTCAAGTACCAGAGCAGATATTTTTTTAAAAGCATTTCACAAGCACCCCAAGGACTTACAGAGAGTTAAAGTGAGGAAAAAGATTGCGTATGGAGGGGACTGGGGAAAGGATAAAAGCAGAACGGGGATCAAGGCAACAGAAAATGGCGATAGACATTGCTTTAAATTTTTCAAGATTGTAGGTAACAGGGAAGCAAGGAAGAAGAATATTCTAATTTAGCAATCCTTTTTGTCTGATTGAGTATTTTGTGCTTGTTTGATGCAAATACAATTAGAGTAACAGTCGCATTGCGCCTAATTGGAAGTGACCCTGATTAACCTTGTCCGAGAATTTTTTTTTTACATTAGGCTACTTTTTATTGGTGCAGTTTACTCGTTAATATGAAAGCAAAGTTCAGAATAAGGTTGCTGGAAGTGAAAAAAAAAAGTAAGAATTCATTATTTTTTACGGCTTATCAACCCTTTGCATGTTATTTAAACATGCAAAGGGTTGATAAGCCGTAAAAAATAGTAGAAAATATTTTTAGATTGTAAGAAGTTTTTTGTATATAATAGTGATTTTCTGATACAAGTTTTACTATTTAACCCATAGCTGCAGGGAGAAGAGCTGGATTCATACCTGTCCCAAGTGTATTTACGCGTAAGTGAATACAACGAACCAGACTGGACTCGGAAATCCAATTTCCAATCCCGAGCCGTTGTTCATTGCACCACCCGCACATTCCGCACATCCCACAAGTTTACAACGCCTGCATTACCCAAGCTACGGAACTATTCTGTTTTTGATTGCGAGGAAAGCCAGAAAAAAACGCATCAAGGCGCTGTTTGGTTTAAGAACAAAAAAGGTTTATTTTAGAAAGAAAGTAAATAAAACAAGCAAATACAGCCATTGATCCCATTCTGTCTTTATTGAAGTCCCAGTGTTTAATTGATGTTAACTAAGGAATGAAGGAAAAAAGCAGAATTATATAATAAATTCAGTAATCCCAATGTATTTCGGTTGCATTCCAAGTGAATTCAGTGCAATTTACGATCAAAATATCTAGTGAACTGTCACATGTCTAGAAACGGTATCTCCATGCCGTTGACAATGTTATCCAACTAAATAAATACAAGATATTATCTAAAACAACATTCCCACATTGTACGCACCACTATCATTTACCATCTCTCTGCATTGTAAAATTTGTTTTTAAGCTTTGGCTCCCCACTGCTTAAAAAAATTTCTTTGCAAAAGATTCTCCATCTAAGAACTAACGCTTCTTAAATTTGGTGATCGCTTGGGAATCAGTGCTGTCAGCTTGATTTAATCGTAAAATCAAACAGTGATAGCGTAGATTTATAATCAGAGATTTCCTTTTCTATATTAAATACAAAAATATAGAAATGCAAAATAAGTTAATTTAAACTGTATCCATATGATTCTATAGGTCAGTTACAGCTTTAAGACGCCGATTTTTGTATATTTCATAAATAATTTACTTAGTATAATGCATGGCCTTTGTATGAGAATGTATTCTGGAAACACACACATAAAACTATATATATTTATTATCCTCTAAGTAAGCCACGGAACGATGTTCGAAGGCGCCTCCAGGCATGTTTGACAATTACATGGAGGAATACAATAATGACAGATAGATAGATAGATAGATAGATAGATAGATAGAAACAAATAAAACTAAAAGATACAGACAGACCCGTTAAACGGAGATAGAAATAGATTAAACCGTGGTAGTTAAATGAAGAGTAAATGGGCATAAATAGATAGAAACATATTAAACTTAGATAGATAGATAGATAGATAGATAGATAGATAGATAGATAGAGAGAGAGGTAGAGAGATAGATAGATAGCGAGAAACAGAAAAACAAAAAAGATCAAACTGAGATATATAAAAACAGATTGAGTTATATAGAAACAGATTACACTCAGATAGAGATAAAAACGGATTAAACTGAGAGATAGGGATAGAAAGAGATTAAACTCAGATAGATAGATAGATAGATAGATAGATAGATAGATAGATAGATAGATAGATAGATAGATGAATGAATGAATAGACATAGGTAAATAGATAGATTGATAGAAAGAAACAGATTCAACGTAGGTAGATGGAAACAGATTAATCTCAGACAGGGAGAGAGATAGAAACGGATAAAACTGAGAGATCGAGATAGAAACAGATTAAACTCAGATAGATAGATAGATAGATAGATAGATAACTAAATGCTCAAATACAATATATAATATTTAAAATATTCATGATAATATACCGTCGTAGAATTGTGAATCCGTATAAAACGAGGCGACTGGTCAATGTATAATGACTATAACTGACAACAGTACGAACTGAAAGACCCAAATAACGTCAACTGGTTTTATTCTTGAATATTTGTAACGGCTAAAAACAAACAAGCAGAGCAATTCTTTCAGCAGGTATAAAAAAAGATTCCATGTTTCCTCAAAAATAACCTCAACCGTAACGAATAAGAAATTAAATGTCAAACGAGGAACACTTCAAAAAATTCCAGATAACCATTTTTTTTATGAAGGTTTTCGTCTTCGTGTAAGAGGATAAGAATAGGAATAATGTTTCTTCGTATTTATTATGCTTCACTCAGTCTAATCAATTATTAATATACGCGTTTTGTCACGACTGTGCTCCGCCATTCTGTCAAACGAAACCGAGGCTTCCTTGTCTGGATTCCACATTCGACTTCTTACATATTAAATAGGCTAAAACAGTAGTTCCCGACCTTTTTCGTCCAATGCACCCTATCCATCATATCATTCACCGCTTTTCTAAGATTGCCCGTCTCAAAACGTTTGTTTCGAATAATATGCATATATTAATGAAAATCTTCATTCTTTAATGGGATTATTTTTATATGTAGCTTTGCAAGAAAATACAAACCGAAGCTTTTCTTTTCCATTGATCAGGGTGGTTTTGAATGCTTATTGAATATAAAATTCATATTACCGTCCTTTTTTGACATTCATAATGGTCTCTAAATTCTGTGAATAAAAACCAGGAAATATTACAAGATTAACCCCCCCCCTCCCAAACACTGAACATCCCCTTTGAGTAGAATTTCGCTTGGTTGAGAACCCTGCTTTAGAAAGAAGAAACATTCAAAATAATTTTTATTTGTCTGTAGAGGAAATATAGTTTTCTTTCAAATTTCTTTTCCGTACTCAAAGGCATGAGGCTTACGACCATATCCCGTTGATATACCAAGGGGAAAAAAATAAAACAAAAATCTGTAAGATTTTACACTATTTATATTATTCTAACTATTGTCCTCATCTTTGTTGCCATGTTTATCACAACGTTTCGGCCGATGTACGCTCCGGCCTTCTTCAGGTGGTTGGAATGTCAAACTGAACCCTTTATTTCGCTCACTGGGGTAGACTGTTCTAGTTCCACGTGCCATGTTTAATGGATGTCAGTTATCAGTTATCTCCTGTTAATTCACCTCTCCAAGTTCTCCATTGCCTTAACCAGGTATTGAACTTACACTCTTTGGGTCCTGTCACTGGATCTAACTAACGCCTTTACCCACTGTGCTATGTGTCCTCGAGGACACATGGCACAGTGGATAAAGGTGTTAGTTAGTATAAATAACTAAGTAGGTAAAGACGTTATTTAGATCAAGCGACCAAATCTTCATTCTTTCCCATATAAGTAAATATACATTTTAGAGAGAACTTCAACAAATCTAAGAGCAATAGAAAATGTTGATAGACTTTTAAAGTTGAATACATGTAATATAATTTGTTTAAATTCATCCCTAACTAATAAATCAATATTGAATATACAATTCATCATACCGTCTTTTTGACACTCATGACTGATATTCTGTAAATAAAAAATCAAGAAAAAGTAAAAGATTTCCTTCTGAGAACTACTGGGTTAAAAGACACATTCCTGGCGCTTATAGAAAACGTAATTGCTTAAGCACTAGTATTGTCGAAGATGTTTATTAAACTTGGATTAGTCGTGTAAAGAACCATAGAAATAATACTTCCTGATTCCATATTTCATTATGAGAGTTAATTTTTACTCATTGAATCTGGTATTGGCCCACTTGATGTAGATAAATCTTTTTGCAATACTCTTATCTTCATAGGATCAATAATCCTTGTAAATTTTAACTAAAAATGGCTGCTATTTCGGAAATAATCATTAGATCATTTTAAAAGAAATTGTTACCTACTTATAAAAAAAAATTAGTTAAGTACACAGTCTCCATTGTTTTAACAACTGTTTCTCATCGTTCTGTATGATAGTTAAGCCATTTTTCTAGAAGGTTCGTGTTAGAAGAATGCTGTGCGGTTGTTTTCGACTTATTGCACAAAGTCAATTTTATTACCATTTAAATTGTTCTGTAGAGTCCGGAGCAAATGAAAATTCGAAGGATCCAAGTCAGGAGAAAACGGTGGGTGATGAAGGGTTTCCCATTTCAAAATTTGAAGCTTTTACAAAGGCTATTTTGAAACATAATGTCTTGCGTTGTTTTAGAATAAAATTACACCTTTTCGATTTCCCAAAATTGGTCTTTTTTCTTGAAACCAAGTCTCTTCGAATGGCAGAAGGTAGTTATCGATTATCCAACTCTTAGCAATCTCTTCCTTCGAAATATTCGGTTTATTCTACGATGGCAAGTCTTCAGTCTATTCATTAACGTAGGAAGTTCACCCAGGGTGTGGTTGATCGTTTAGGTTAAAATCACCCTGAAAGAAATTAATTCAACGCTAGCACTGTCAAAACCAGAATAGTGTGGAGAGGCCGTTTCACCTACCAGGAATAATTATTGGCGGTAACAATTTTAACAACGGAAGATATGGCGATGACACAATATTGATAGCATTTATATAGGTACTCCCACTGTCGCGTAAAATAACAAAAGAACAGCATATCACGATGATGAAAAGGTCCGTAACTCAACAAAAACAAAGTTTTCTCATCAATATGCTTATGTTATTAAGAGGAAAAACCAAAGAATTTTAAAATTATTTTTTGAAATTTTTTACCCCTTTCTAGCACGTAGAAAATTTGGGTAAAATTTTTTTTATTTTTTACGACAGCGCAATAATAGAGAAAAAAAGTTTGTTTTATTTTGCGCTTTTCCCGAGGAAAACACACGTTGATTTGGAAATTCTTGTAAAAATCAAATAATTGTCGGATTTTAATGAAACTTTCTGGAAATATTCAAAAATGAATGAAATTATTTAAAAACATTTTTTTTTAGAAAATCTTGTTAAAAAGATATTTTTTAACATGTTTCCTTCCCCTTTCATATTTTCATGAAATTTCGAGAAATTAAATCTTTATCTTTAGGCATGGGATTTGTTTTATTAGTTAAAAACAGGACTCTTTATAGAAAGTAAATCACCAGGTATTTTTTAAACATTTAGCGCTTTCATGGAAAATCTGCTCTGAATTATAAAAAAAATGTAAAAATACTATGACATCAATTAATTAAAAAAGCTTTTACTTGCTTCTGTAAATACGTTATATTAAGGACATTATTTTGTGAAAAAATAAATTTTTTTCGATGAATAATGTATTTTTATAATTTTTTTTTCATTTTTTAAAAGATTTTTTATTAATATAATATTAACTTACTAATACTTCAAAAAACGTTTAAAATTCATTATTGCTTTTATTCACGTAATGCAATGATAACGTTAATGGAAAAGTAAATTTACGAATCGAAATTTGAAAAGCTCATAACAGTCGTTTGTACCTGAATATTTTTAAAATAATTTTTAGTGAAAAACGTTCCTAATTTCTATCTATGGGGAAACTATACATGACATAATCCTTAAAAAGATCACGTGATTTTATTGTCGTCTGAGGCAATCAATCAATCTTTCAATATCCAGTTCTGTTTCACATCGTTAACGTGTTTGCAAAAAGTCCTTTCCAAATTTCTAAGTTAGTTTTAATTTTTGTTAATTGCTTTTTACTAAATATTTTATTTTAGGTGTTTATTTTAGTTTGGGTCATATTCCATTGAAGTAATTTTTTGTTTAAGTTAGTAAGTTATTAAATAAGATAAAAAGATTAAGAACCTAAGAAACGAAATCCAGACTAAAAAAAAAAAATTAAATAAAAAATAAATATTACATAGTTGCTGAATAAATGTTAATATTTAAAAACTAAATAGTTAAAAATAAAATACGCGTTCGCTTCGTAAAATTGTCAAATTTGATCACCATAATAGCTGTCATCACTTCTTTAACATCTAGATAACATCGATAACGCGAATAAAGACATGAAAAAATTCAGACACATCGTTAAGAAATGTTTGGATACAATTTTTTTATGCTATAAGTAAGTACTGTTTGTTTCAAATCAGATTAATTTAACTTTAAATGTTCTAATTTTACTCAACGTGTTAAAAATATATAATTTATTTTAGGAAGAAGTTTAAAATCGAAATTTTTTTTGTTTACAAATTTCTTAAAATTTAAGAAAATGGCCGCTTTTAAGAAATTAAAAAAAATCGAGCATATATTTGACATTCCAATCTATATAATTTCTATCTGAAATACACCAGAATATTTTACTTACTGGAAATAATAAATTTAATCCTTTAGCTTTCAAATGAAGCTAAAATAAAATCTTTAAAAATGCTTTTTCATTTTTAAAAATTCATTTTAAACATTGGGTATCGAAAAATTAAATGGAGGTACCTACATTTATAGAAAGGAAACTACAAGAACACTTACATTAGCTATTGAAGGAAAGCGATAAGACAGAATCTATTTTTGTTAGAATTAACCCGACATGCAAATTACAAATTTAAGTTAAAATTGCTCTGACGAAATCCGCCAAACCAGTTTTTGACCGTCCGAGCTGGAATATGATCCAAATATAACTTCTGAATATTTTTGTCGTAGTTTTAACGGTTATTCCATTCTGCAATTCCTAGAGAATAATATGCTGAAAGTGCAACTTTTCATCGTCCATTTTAAGTCAAAAGTCAACAAAGTTTTACTCGCAAATGAATAATACAAGGTTTCAATCTACAATGCACCAGAAATTGACGCGTACAACCCCCCCCCAAAAAAAAAATGCCAGTGTCAAGTTGTAGTCATTTTATATTAACAATAAGAATCGGCCAGGAACTTTCGCAATGATCTGATATTCCCAAAGCATCGAAACGAAATTGAAGAAGAGAATCCATTGTATAGTGAATCTGAACTTAAATTACTCGTTTAAGTCACAACACAAACGGAACCTTTATTATTATTTCCGGAAATTAATATTTCGACAAGCTAAGCAGAAGTAGATATAGAGATTATCTTGATATCAGCCGACTGGGTAACATTTTTATTTTATTTTATTTTGCACTGTGGTCTGGCTATTTCATACATCACAAGTAAAAATGTGTCGACAGATAAATTCACAATAAAAATACTGAAATATTTAAAAAAAAAAGATATACTTTCTTCAATCACAGGAAATAAACTCGAGTGATATTCAGAAAATGTAAAACTTTTAATCTTTGCTTATGAGACAAGAATTACATATAAAAAATGATATTAAAAAAGAATATTGCTGGAACATATTATACACACACACACACACACACATATGAGTGTGTTTGTGTTTTCTTTCTCTTTATTTCCGCCATTTCAGAATTTTATAATTAGGACATGTCATACTGCTTCGACGCATTTCCGCTGTGTTCTAAATGTAAGAAGATCGTCCCCAAAAGTTAACACTTTTTGAGACTAGCTCCTGCTTGACTGCTTCCTGGGACACTTCAATGTCTACCACTTAAATTGGAGAGTCAAATGTCATCTTCACACTTATCATCCACACTTACTACAAATTTTTCTTCCATCTGTATTACGCATATCATTCATCATTACCATTTTGAAGCAACGCTCTGCCTTGACTTGCCCTCGAGTCTTGCTTTGTTTAAGATCTTACGAAAAATAAGTGGACAATTAATTTAATCCCAGTGGTATCTATACGAACGATTAATAAACGGTTCTAATAATCTCGATGTAAATAAATGATTATTTTATTCCATATATAATAGTTGGATGTGCCGGTGGTTTAATGAATATCGGTTCTGAGTTCAAATTGCGGACGAGTTCGTTTCCTTTACTTACGCGCAGATAACGTCCGGAAAAGTATAAATACATCTCTTCTCCTTTCAGTTATGGGTTGAATAGTATGGGTTCTATAGCTTTGGTTGGCAACCATTCTATCGCAGAAAGAATTGGCAACTTACTGCGGAAAAATCCTCAAACGCCTATTCTAGCATACCAAGAGTTGGCTCATAAAATTAACACGAGTATAATATCTCATGTTGACGCACAGTCTGCAGCAAATGAAGCAATAATTTTAAAAAAAAATAATAGTTGTTTATCAGTCTTTGGAGACTATGGAGCCTAATATATGGGGCTCTTAATGCTTGTTCCAGGGACCCGTGTTTGTTCCACACCCACAACGTCAAACTGCAACTATCCTGAGCAGACCTTATTTTATATAAGAGATTTCATAATGTGGCGTGAACAAGCCACTCACTGAATATTCGTCTAGCGTAAGGAAAGTTGGTTCTGTGTGTCGCGCCAAAATCCATTCTTCAAATCTATAAATCTACCATTCGTCCTTGCATTGAATACTGTTTCCATATATGGCCTGGTGCCCCCAGTGTTCATTTCGAGTTTATCGACAAAATCCAAAGACGGGTATGCAATTTAATAGGTCCTTATCTGGCATCTCGTCTATTGTCACTTTCTCACAGACGTGCTGTGGCTTCCATGTGGTTTCGTCTTTTCTACAAATATTTTCATTGCAACTACTCTGACGAGCTTCTTTAACTAGTATATTTAGCTACCTCCCCACGAGGATTGCATATGGCACAAGGCCGATTTAACGTGGGTTCTCCGAGCCCGTAGGCTCGGTCAAAAATATTCCTTTTTGAACCCGTATAAATGGGTTCAGTGACAGTCTACCTCCCCGAACTAGACTCTGCCCTTCGGCGGAGCCTCGTCCGGGTTCCTCTCTGCCCGAAGGCAGAGAGTTCGGTCGTCTAGCTGGAACAGCTAGGCTTCTTTAACTAGTACCCCAATTGCATGACTTTAAGCATGCTACTAGGTTGGCATCTCGGTCCCACCCACATCGAAACAGTTAAATGTAACCGCCTCTTCTACTCTAACAGCTTCTTCTTTCGCACTTCCCGACAGTGGAACTCCCTTCGTCCTACTTGCTTCCTTGATAGCTATAATCTTTAAATATTCAAATGTAATGTCAATCGATATCTTCTGATGCCTTGATCCTGATCCCCGTCTTTTTCTATATCTTTTTCTCAAACACGTCTCTTTATTCTTGCTCTCACTGTAACCCCTTGCGTGCTAGTGGCATTCCCGCCTTGCTTGAGGTGAAATGATAACCCCCCACAAAAAAAAAAACTCAAAATGTCGCTGACTTGTGAATTTCTGCTCGCACATCTGCTGAACAGTTTCATTTACACAATATCAATATATGAATGATTATTAGATGACATCTCTTAGGATCCTCCATAGTTTACCTTGACTTTCACAGTTAGCCTGAAGAATATTTATGAGTGTTCTTCAGTTAAAAAAAATTAAAAAACTAACTTGATTTTTACTTCAGTTTATAAATACTTGTTGCAAAATAAGATCTTGACATTTGCATTGATAAAGTTGATCAGAGGACGAACGTGTCGTCTATGATAAGTTTTCCTATTAACTTCATTCTTATTGCCTTTTTACAGATATATTTTTTATTTTTGTCTGAACTTTTACACTTCGTCCCTTCTAGTAATCTCATGGTTTACGGCCATATCTCGTTGGAACACCGGTTCCCGTACGATCACCGAATTTAAGCAACATCGAGCTTGGTCAGTACCTAGATGGGTGATCGCTTGCGAATGCCAGGTGCTGGAAGTTTGGATGGGCTGGAGAGCCGAGTTCAAATTCCAGTCATGTTCTTTATATTGACATATGCGGGGAATCCCCTTGGGGAATGTATAAATCCCCCTCTTCTCTCTGCAGCAATGGGTTAATTTCTAGCATTAGTATCAGTAAAAATCATTAGTATCTCAAAAGAAATTATTACAATCTAGGAATATTTACTGGCTTTAAATAACCTGAAAAAGGTTGATAAACCATAAAAAACAAATTAATCAAATTCTAGTAATCTATATTTATTTCACTCTTTCTTAATAGAGAATAGTTCAGCAGACTTTTCTTTATCTGTCTATATTTCTGAGATGAGGTATTATGTACATTATTTACATTATTCGGACTTTTGTCCTCATCTTTGTCGCCAGATTTATTACAACGTTTCGGCCGTTGTACACTCTGGCCTTCTTCAGGTGGTAATTTAACCCTTTATTTAGCTCACTGGGGTAAACTTGTCTAGTTCCAAGTGCCATGTTTAATGGATGCCAGTTATCAGTTATCACCTGTTAATTTCCCTCTGAAAGCTCTCCACTGCTTAACCGGGTATTCGACTCACACTCTTTGGGTCCTGTCACTGGATCTAACCAACGCCTTTATCCACTGTGTCGGTGTATGAATTTCTGGGTATTATAAACCTAATGTCTTCAGCAACCATTTTTACCAGTGCTCATATCGCAATTTTTTTGCTGTTATCATTGCATGTTTTTATTTTACTTTGTTTCGAAGGTATCTTAATACCTTGCTTATTTTCGGAGAAAAATTTTTTTCACTGTTTGATACGCACGGTTAAAATTCTATATTTTCTGAATTTTGACGTCCCCAAAATTTAACTCACAATTTGAGCTGTTGATTTCGCTGATAAACATGCAGTCTGTTTTGTTTCATTTAATAGTACTTCCTGTTTTCGTCAAGAAATCCTTGGCAGATTTCAAAAACGTTTACACGGCCTTCTGGATAATGAGTTATTTTCTAGTGTACAGTCCATTTCATACAAGCGAAAGAGTGCTGCTTTCTCGGTACGCTTTCGTTATTCCCACAGATATTTGACGGGCTACATTCCTTATTTTCACCAGTTCGGAAATTTCAGAATAAGGACCCACCACGCTATACTTACATTGACACTCATTTTCATTCCCTTTTTATTCCATTACTCAAGAAGAAATCCCACTCCGACAACTTCTTCCCCAGAATCATTATGATATGAAACATACTCCCGAGAGGATGCTTTCTCGATCACTACGATGTTAATATCTTCAATTCTAGAGCAAACCGTTATCTCTCTTATCCGCATAATGTGAACTTGTTTCCTCCTTTTAAACTTTTACGACAAACTCAGATTGCCCCCAGGTTGTTCTTATGCCGCTCATTCATTTTGCCAGACACTCGCCATTTTTAGATGAGCAGAAAGTTGGTAGGCTGCGAGAATTGGATTCTTTAAACTAATTTAGCAGCGGTTATCCCCTGCGTCAGCTACCTCCTCACATAGACCGAGCAAGTAAAGCCGTGGATAAAGCAGCTGAAGTAACTAAATATATTAGAAACAGGGTTCGAGTTTTCATTTCTAGACGTGACATTTTTTTTTTGTGGTGGGGGTACTTTGTTTGCTTGTGAAAGTGCAGCTGATCTTTCGCAGCTTTGAATGACAATGCCAATGGAAACGCAACATGGAGCCGGTCATCAGAAAGCAGACTGAGGGCCCCGTTGTATGTTCGCGGAAGGATTTGCGTAAACATTCACAAAGAATCTTGATTATTCGCATTGTAGTAACTATTCATTTAAACCAGTTTTATTAGAAGGATTAATCCGTTGGATAAAAGGAGTAGATATGTTCGACTTTCGTCTAATTCATACTGATCTCCAGTCTTTTAATAAGGAGTAGAGGTTTATCCTTTGTTTCTTATTTGGGATTGGGTTTCCGGACTCTTCTAAAGTCTTCTCATTATCTTTATATCCCTTACGTCTTAGTGGCATTATCATCTTACTTGGAGTGAATTGATTAAAAAATTGAATTAATTGAGTATTAATCAGTCAGATAAAGCTAAATTAAATTGAATTAATCCTTTCCATGTTGAGATTATAACGATTCGTTCATATAAGTGGAGATAATAATGCTTGATGTAATCTAAATATTACTAGGATTTAAGTAATCATTTATTGAAATGATGTTAGAAGTATTACACTATTTACATCATTCGGACTATTGTCCTCATCTTTGTCGCCATATTTATCACATCGTTTCTCCTGAACCGACCAAGTATAGAAATGAATACAATATGGGAACCAGTAATAAGGTATGTCAGAGAAAAGCGATAATAACAACAAAAATTGAAATATGAGCTCTAGTAAAAACATCTATGATAACAGCAAAAATTGCGATATGAGCATTGATAAAACACCTTTGCTGATGACATCAGGTTTATAATACCCAGAAATTCATCCACAGATGTCCTCAAGGACACATAGAACAGTGGATAAAAGCGTTGCTTAGATCCAGAAACAGGACCCAAAGAGTGTGAGTTCAATACGCGGATAAGTCAGTGGAGAACTTGGAGAGAGGAACAGGAGATAACTGATAACAGACATCCATTAAAACATGGCACGTGGAACTAGACATTCCAACCACCTGAAGAAAGCCAGAGCGTACAACGGTCGAAACGTTGTGACAAAGATGAGGACAATAGTCCGAATAATGTAAATAGTGTACATAATACCTCATCTCAGAAATATAGACAGTTAGAAGTATTAACATAATCTTTCAGGTTATATATTATTCTACGAGATTAGTAGAATAATTCGTGAGAAATCTGATTTTGAAAAGCAGTGTAATACTGTTTTCACTACACAGACGGAATAGATTTGTTTTTTCACGCGCTCTTTTTATGATGTATTTATTGTAACATCTTAGTTAACGTTTAGTTAATGTCTACTTTGAGAAGATAGTTTCTGCGGCAATTATATATATATCGAACAGTATCTACGTTGTGGTCCAACTTAAGCGGAACTTTTCCACACGCTTCGGGAGATATTCTTACACGTCACTGATCCTTCTCCACAAAAAAAGACAATCTCTCCTATTCTGATAAACTTGCGAAATTTTCTGTATACCTCATAGCGGAATATCGTCAACTCAAGAATTATAGGAAACAATATCAGATCCATTTCATTGTTCACGTATTTTTTTCATTCAAAAATAAGGTGATTTGGTAAAAAAAAAAACAGTTCTTCGTCAGTAATATAGATTGAGAGATATTTACGAGAAAGAAAAAACATTACTGAACTCCACAAGACATAGAAACTGAAAGGACGTTTCTGTCTATATTTCTGAGATAAGGTATTATGTACACTATTTGCATTATTCGGACTATTGTCCTCATCTTTGTCGCCATATTTATTACAACGTTTCGGCCTTTGTACGCTCCGGCCTTCTTCAGGTAGTTGGAATGTCGAACTGAACCCTTTATTTCGCTCACTCGGGTAGACTGTTCTAGTTCCACGTGGATGTCAGTTATCTCCTGTCAATTCCCCTCTGAAAGTTCTCCACAACCTTAACCGGGTATTGAACTCACACTTTTTGGGTCCTGTTACTGGATCTAACTAACGCCTTTATCAACTGTGCCATGTATCCTTGAGGATATCTGCGTATCGACAATAGTCCGAATAATGTAAATAGTTAAAGGATGTTGCTTGAAATAATGAACAAAAAAAGCAATAAGTGACATACAATATAACTTCCTGTTACGTAATATCATTTCTCCTCTATGGCAGTAAATATTGGATAATCTCATCACAGATGAAGAGATATGAAACAACAAAAATGTTGTTCTACAGAAGGACGCTGAGAATATCATGGACTGAACACGTTGAGAACGACAAAGTTTTAGAGAAAATGGAAACAAAAAGGACACTTTTACTTAACGTCAGAAAGGGACAGTTAAAATTTCTAGGGTACATAATGAGGAAAGAGGACATGTAAAATTTAATACTCACCCCGGAGAGACTGAAGGCAAGAGGGACAGGCGAATATAGCGCCTAACTCACCTAAATATGTTGAATAAATTAATGACAGAATAGGGTTTATGAGCGATAACAAAATGACAAAATTTATTACCACATACCAAGGAAAGGAAGTGGTGGAGCGCTATGATCGTCAATGTACTGAAGGGACACAACACATAGAATAATGACAATTTCGTGTTGGATTATCTCTCGGTGGTGACATGCATCTGTCGAAACACAAGTTAAATTGTAGATTTCGTTCGAGTCCTCAGAGTACGAATATGCTTTTTATTCCTAGTGCTGGCGTTTCTTTTTCGATTATTGTGTTCTCGCAAAATTATGAAATCATTGCATATATCAGGTCATCCCATAAGTTCTGTTCGAATTTTGAATAAAGAAAACAAGTGACCAAATGTTACATTTAATTACAGATTCAATCAACAATGTATTTCCCCTGATTATCTATGACTTCCTTCCATCTATTAACACGCTTACTAATTCCATTACTGTAAAATTCTTTTGGCTTTGATTCGAAGAACTCACAAATGTCAGTTTTAACCTCTTCCTGTGTTACAAAAGCTGTTTCTTCCAAATGATTCTGTAAGCTACGAAACAAATAGTAGTCTGAAGGAGCAAGATCGGGAGAATAAGGTGGATGAGGAATTTTCTCCCAACCAATCTTTTGTGACATGATTCTTGCTGTGTGGGGTCGCGCATTGTCCTGATGAAACATCACGTCTTTTCGATTCACTAGAGCAGGTCTTTTTTTCCTCAAACCTTGGTTCAAACGCTCTAATTGCTGACAGTATATTTGAGCATTAATTGTTGCATTAGGTGGTAAGAATCCCACCAGATTGAAATAAGAACCTTTTGCCCATGAAGTTTCCTTCTCGGCTGTAGCTAGGGTCCTTTCTCTTTACCAAGTCACTGTCTACGACGCTTAACATTTCGATAAAAGATCCATTTTTCGTCGCCAGTCACAAGTC